CTTTGCTAATCTAAACAAAATCATGAGATAGCAAAAGTCCAAACTTAGATGTTTTTACAGGGATTATCAGTCTAGATTATTTTTAAAAATATTTATTTTTACTTATTTGAAAGGCAGAGTATCAGAGAGGAAGAGACAAAGAGAGAAAGGTCTGTTGGTTCACTCCCCAAATGACCACAACAGTCAGGGATAGGCAAGGCTAAATCCAGGAGCTTGGAGCTCCATTTGGGTCTCCCACATGGGTGGCAGGGGCCCAAGGACTTGAGCCATCTTCTGCTGATTTCCCAGGTGCATTAGCAGAGAGCCGGATGATATGCAGTGCACCTGGGACTCAAGCAAGATGCCATATGGTATGCTGGCATCACAAATGGAAGCTTAAATTGCTGCCCCCACAATACCAGCCCCATCAGCCTAAATTTAAAGACAGGACTGGGGCTCAACGAGACTGAGTGGCCTGTTCAAAGACAAGAACCCAGGTCTTCTAACATCATCTCATAATTTTCCCACTACAGCATATTAATGTCTGAAATAAAATGAACCCTCAGCTGCTTAATTCCAGGATTAGCCACCTCATGATGTCTCTGAGAGACTACACATCACTCAGCTAGAAAAAAACAGCTACTGGTGAAACCTGTGGGAACAACCAGCAACAAAGCTCTATAGTTTTTTCAATGGATTACTTCTTAAAAATTTTACCACAGAGCTGCCAGAGCATAATACATTTTAAAATAACTCTAACATCCCTTTTCTCTTTCCTGTGACTCCAATCTTCTTAATTAGCACTGAGACTGAACTTACAATTCTGAGTTAAATCCATCTGGATGGGCATGTTGTACAGGGATAAGGCATGTTCACACAGATGTCATCCAGGAGCTTGTGAGAAATGCAGAACCCTAGGTATTGTTTATCAACATTATTTTATTTTTGTTTACTTGAAAGGCAGAGTGACACACACACACACACACACACACACACACACATCACATCACATCTTCTAGCTGCTGGTTTACTCCCCAGATGCTTGAATCAGCTCAGGTAGGACCAGGGTGAAGCCAGACCCAAGCACTTCATCCAGATCTCCAACATAGGTGTCAGGGACCCAACAACTTGAACCATCACCTGCTGCTTCCTAGGGTGCACATTAGCAGGAAGCTGGAATTGGAAACAGAGCCAGGACTCAAACCCAGGCCCTCTGATACAGGATGCATCCATCCCGAGTGACATCTTGACTGCTTCACCAAATGCCCACCACGGCCTTGTGCATCTGAAGCTCAAATTTAACCAAGCATTTTATGGTTTATCTGGCAACCTTACCTTGGTACAGTGTGGGTAGAGATTACACAAGGGTGTGAAAACCAGGAGGCAGAGGTCTTTGGGGGTCAGCTTGCAACTGGCTATCACAGCCAAGTCTTTCCTTAAAAATTCAATTCTTTGTTCTGGTCAATTTCATATAATTATTCCTCCAGTTTGACTAAAAGCAAGTCAGGTTATAAAATAAAATAATCTAGTTGTGTTTTTTTTTTTTTTTTTTTTTTTTTTTTTTTTGCTGGTATCTCATTGAAACCATAGATTAGCAGACTGATTTACTGATATAGAATGTAATCTTCTGATGATGGCTTTTCTCACCCTCTCTTAGATTTTGTATTCTTATTTATCTGGGTCATGAATACTTCCTGTTAGTGTTTGCTGTTTACTGTTTTGATTTGTGGTTATACCTGTGATATTTTTCAGCAGGTTTTGGCTGGAACGTAATACTGGTGATTTTTATGCATTTATTTGTGATGTCTGCCTGAATGAATGCTCCTGTTATTTCTAGTAAATGTTAAGTTGATTCCTGTAGGTTTCCTAGTTATAGGATAACATCAAGTACAAATAATGACATTTTGCCATTTCCTTTTTAATATTTAATCCTTTTGCTCTATCCTCTTAACTGATCATATTATCAAGCAGTTATAATTTGTGAGAGAAAAACCCAGGACTAGGGCAAAATCTTGCAAATTGGGGGAAAATAATATTCAGGGAAATTATTTTATACATCTTACATTTATTTAGGTTGTGGTATTATTTAGGTGTAAATGTAGTATGATGTTTCCAAACTACCATTCCCAAGAGCTTTGAACCAAAACTATTTACATAAACAGCTTCCCAGAACTGCAGTTTGTTTAAAACCCCCTATCTGCATTTCTTTCAAAGGGTTTACAACAGAGTCCAGATTCCAGGTCCAGCCTTGCCCTTTTTTTCTCACCATTTCAGGTAAAAGTTCAAGGGGGGGACTTTTCATAGGACTTTGGACATATTTTCCCTGAAGAGTTTATTAAATAATAAGCTTGGGATCAGGAAAATAAGACTCACACATGTAAAGATAAATAAGTACAGAGTCCTCTAAAAATCCAGGAGAGAGGCCACCAACACGAAAACAGCATAACCCACCGGCGAGGAAAACAAGGAGGTGGAGATCTCAGGCTGCAGCCACTGGCTCTGCTCGCGGGCTGTTAAGGTCTTTCCTGTGAGAGTGTCAGCTTGTTAGCATGGGAAACGCTTAGGGGTAGTGTCAAGGGAAGAGGAAGTCAGACACCCTGTCCCTGTCCTGAGGCTACTTCTGCATAGTAAGCCTGGTCTTACCAACAACCTAGTCTGGGCCAGGCTGAAGCCTGGAGCCAGCAGCTCCCTCCCTGTCTCCCAACATGGGTGGCAGGGGTTCAAGTACTTGGGCTATCCTCCTCTGTCTTTCCAGGCACATTAGCTGGATCAGAAGCAGAACAGTCAGACTCAAACCAGCACTCAGACACAGGATGCACAATGCTGGCCCTAGCTTTATATATATATATTTATAACATATATATATATATATATATATATAAATTATCATTCCAGAGGGGATCATGAGGTCTATGAAACTTGGTGCAGGAGCTGAAACTCTGCCAGGCCACCTGCTCCCTTTACGAGTGTTGGAAAGCACTGTTCCAAATGGACAGTAATTTCCGGTTCTCTCACCACACACACACACACACACACACACACACACAAACACAATAATGGGCCGGCGCTGCGGCTCACTAGGCTAATCCTCCGCACACCGGGTTCTAGTCCCAGTCGGGGCGCCGGATTCTGTCCCGGTTGCCCCTCTTCCAGGCCAGCTCTCTGCTGTGGCCAGGGAGTGCAGCGGAGGATGGCCCAAGTGCTTGGGCCCTGCACCCCATGGGAGACCAGGAGAAGTACCTGGCTCCTGCCATCGGATCAGTGTGGTGCGCCAGCCATGGCGGCCATTGGAGGGTGAACCAACGGCAAAGACCTTTCTCTCTGTCTCTCTCTCTCTCACTGTCCACTCTGCCTGTCAAAAAAAAAAAAAAAAAAAAAACCACAATAATGATGTGGGGATATGGAGATATGGATACGTTCATTTGCTAGACAATAATAAATATCGTATTGTGTATACATATATTAACATCATGTTGAACAACACAGAGTATACAATATTTACTTCTGCCTAACAATAAAAATAAATTGTAAAAAAATATACAATTTACATATCTAAAAAGATATAATTCTTGCCCTCAAAAAAGTACAGTTCAGAGCTGGTGCTTTGGTGCAGTGAGTTTTTACTGCCTGCAATGTTGGCATCCCATATGAACACCAGATCCTGGTTGCTCCATTTCAGATCCAGCTCCCTGTTAATGCACCTGGGAATGCAGTGAAGAATGGCTCAAGTGCTTGGGCCCCTGACACCCCTATGGGAGACTTAAATGGAGTCCCAGGCTCCTGGTTTTGGCCTGGCCCAACCCTGGCCTTTGCAGCCATTTGGGGAGTGAACGAGCAGAGGAAAGATCCTGCCCTCTGTCTCCCCTCTCTCTCTGTAATGCTGCCTTTCAAATAAATAAATAAATCATTAAAAATATATATATCCAAATTGTGTAAATAGATACAGATACAGAGAGAGCGAGCAAAAAGTCAATCAAATTGTTTATGCACACATAAAGAAGTACTCAGCTCTAGGTCCCTGAATGAAACCACTGATGTTGAGAGCTAAGTTGATTTTAAATTCTGTCTTAACACTACATTGATATCTCCAAGGAGGGGAGTGTGGGAAAAGGAAGAAGTATGATCTATCCTAACATATTCAGTGATACAGTTCTAAGCCCAAATGAGCCTGGAGAAGCACCTGCCCCCAGCACACAGCTTAGCAGGTGGCAGCTCTTCACCTGCTTGCATGTAAGTGCTTGTAAGTCCTATGATTCGACTCAGGTCTGGAGACTGGAAAAATCCAGATGGAGCAGCATCAATTCGTCACAGTGTGCACTAGACACTAGTTGGGGACATCATAAGGCCAATACAGTCTGTATCTCCAGGGTCAGGGGAAGTTTTCCTCTCGGCTGTCTCAGGGTCATGCGCAGGATCTTACCTGTCCATAATTCAGGGGGATCCACCAAAGCAACTGGCCTTGCATTTTGCCGCATCTCTTTGTCTTGGAGGCTGTGTGCCTCTTGTGAATTCAGTTCGGGCAAGTAACAACAACCAGAAGAAAATGCAGAAGCTGCTCTGATCCATTCTCTTTACCTCTCAAATGCCCTCTTCAGAAAAGACACTACCAGTGACTAGAAGCAGAGAAGGGTCGGGGGATGGGAGGACACAGGGAGGCGAGATAATGGGTACCAAAGCACAGTCAGATAGAAGTAATAGGTTCTGGTGTTCCACTACACAGTGGGGTGACTATAGTTCACAATAATGTATAATACACACTACAGAGAACTGGAAGAGAAGAGCAGGGAAGAGAAGAGCAGGTGGGCCCCAAACACAATGAAATATGAGGAAACGGAAATGCCAACTGTTTGATTTGGTCAGCGTACACTGTATACCTGTGTTGAGATCTTGTATGGCATCTTTAAAAGTGTACAATATTAGCAGTTAATCATGAATTTTACAAATGAAAAATAGAAACATAACCAATATAAGCTGATTATTCTATTGCTCTGTAGGGGCGCTGAGAGAACAGCAATTTTTACCTTAATGAATGCCAACTGTGAGCCAGTTTAAAGCAAGTAAGCCAGAGCAAGATCATCCTAGCAGGCAGTAGGTCAGGAGAATCCCCATCATGAATCAGTGATGTCCATGGTGGTCCAAATACCTAGGGAGGAAGAGCAAGTTAGTAAACTTCCCACACTGGACTCTCACGTCTATTCCCCACCCTGTCCTCCAAAACCTCAGTCTGTCCCAGGCTTCTCCACCTCAGAAAAGGCAACCCGGCCAGCCAAAGACCTGGGGCTCAGGCCTGGTGCACCTGCTCTCTACCTCCCCAGATCCAGACAGCAACCCCAGACTATCAGTTTACCACTACCACATCCCAAATTCACCTGCTTCTCATTGCCTAGCAACATCCTACCCTCATCACCTTCACCTCCCATCGCTCCCTGTCTGCTGACTTCTAGCCTTCCCTCCATCACATTCCTCAGGGAGACCTAGTAGGTCTCCTTTTCTCTTAGACCTAGCTCTCTCCTTCATACCATTTATCATAATTTAGAAATATAGTCACATATGTATTTATTTATTGGATATCTCTCTCCTCATAATTTAACCTATAGGAAGACAAGGACCAAGGACCTAAGGTCTTCCTGGCACTCAGCACAGTACGTGGCATATAGTAGACATTGATACAAACTTGAGAGAATGAATGGATAAATGTTTTGCAGAATCTCTGCCTGAAAGAAGTCCATCCATCCACAACAGCCAGTTGTAATTCAGAGACCATTCCCTTAAAAGTCTTTCTCCCCTTGGAGACACGGGAGCCAATTCCTCACAGAGAACGTGTGGATTGCATGGAGACCTTGTAGCAGAGCCTCTCAGGGACTGAACCTGAATAGACAAAGAAACCAAACCAAGAGCCCCTCCTTTGGAAAGAGGAAGGATAATCAACAAAAATCCCTAGAGTGGGAGCCTTTGAAGCATTCCTGCCATCTAGTGGCAGTAATCTTAATCTACAGGCAGCCAAGAACTTCCCTCCTCCTCCCATTTTTTTTGGAAATTTGGTAGGAGTCTCCTTTGATCCCCCATGCCTTTTTTTTTTTTTTTTTAAAGTTTTATTTATTTATTTGAAAGGCGTAGTTACAGAGAGGCAGAGGCAGAGAGAGAGAAAGAGAGGGAGAGGGAGAGAGAGAGAGAGAAGTCTTTCATCCACTAGTTCACTCCACAAATGGCCACAACAACAGGAGCTGGGCAAGTCCGAAGCTGGGAGCCAGGAGTCTCCCACATGGGTGCAGGAGCCCAAGGACTTGGGCCATCTTCTACTGCTTTCCCAGGCCATAACAGAGAGCTGGATTGGAAGCGGATCAGCCAGGACTCAAACCAGCGCCCACACGGGATGTCAGCACTGCAGGCAGTGGCTTTAACTGCTATACCACAGCACTGCCCCACTACCCCACCGCCTTCTGTATTGGAAATTTGTCTCCTTCATTCCTGAAGGATTTGCTTGAATTATTTATTTGATATTTCTCTCCCCACCATTTTCTCTGTCTTCTTTTGTTGGGATTTCTATTATTTGGATGTTACATCTCCTGATCTTCTACATTCTATTTCCCCCCGCCCCATTTACCCTTCTCTTTTGTAATACTTTCTGAAAGGTGATGATTTTGAGCCTCCAAAAATATCACCAAGACAACCTGTTGATTACACAAAGCCAGGTTTATTCTTACTGGAGTAAGGAAGGGCACTACAGTGGGAGCTTCATAGCTTCTCAGACGAGGGAAGGAAAAACTAGAAATATTTCTGAACTTTTGAAGTCTCACTGGAGGCAGGTCTTTCCTTGCCAGGTCTTGGTCAACACTGGACAAGGGTAATAATTATGTGGACCCAGGCAGCAGGAGTTGGGAAGCCAGTTGTCATTTGATGCTATGCATTGGTAAACTGAATAGTCTGATGTTCATTTTAATGGATGGGGTGCAGTACCAGAGTAAACAAAATTATTTGCATCTTTTACTGTCCCATGAAAGAGTTCCCTAAAATAGCAAAGCTGGGCCGGCGCCGCGGCTCAATAGGCTAATCCTCCACCTTGTAGCGCCGGCACACCGGGTTCTAGTCCCGGTTGCCCCTCTTCCAGGCCAGCTCTCTGCTGTGGCCAGGGAGTGCAGCAGAGGATGGCCCAAGTGCTTGGGCCCTGCACCCCATGGGAGACCAGGATAAGTACCTGGCTCCTGGCTTCGGATCAGCGTAGTGCACCAGCCGCAGCAGCCATTGGAGGGTGAACCAACGGCAAAGGAAGACATTTCTCTCTATCTCTCTCTCTCTCACTGTCCACTCTGCCTGTCAATAAATAAATAAATAAATAATAGCAAAGCTATACATGACGATAAGACCGAAAGAGTAACATCTTGAAAACACAGAGTCAGCAGTGTGGGTACAGATCATTTCAGTCCCCAGAGAGAGCCCCTCGCCTTATTCTCCTCCCTTCTGTTGAATTTTTCATTTCTACTAAAATATTTTCAATTTCTAAGTCTCTTTTCTTTTAAATGTTTCTTTTTAAGGCCTCGTATTTTTTCGGAGAGGGGAGATATGATATCTGATCTTAGTGACAAGAACAGATAGTTTTTTTTTTAAAAAATAAAGATGTATTTATTGATTTGAAAGAGTTACAGGGAGGGGAGGGGGGGGATCTTCCATCTGCTGGTTTACTCCCCAGATGGTAGCAATGGCCGAGGCTGGCCCAGGCCAAATCCAGGGGTCAAGAGCTTCTTCCAGGTCTCTTATGTGGTTGGCAGGGGCCCAGGGACTTAGGCCATTCTCCACTGCTTTCCCAGGCCATTATCAGAGAGCTGGATCAGAGGTGGAGCAGCCAGGGCATGACCCGGAGCCCATATGGGATGTCAGGGTCGCACGTAGCAACTTTACTTGCTATGTCACAACACAGGCCCCTAGGTGGGATTTTAAAAATTTGTTTTCCTACCAACATCCTTGCCTTTATTTCCTCTGAGTTCCATTTTGTTCATTTTGTCTTTCACACTGTATGCATTCTTTGGTTGTCTCAAGGTAACCCTTGACTGTCCATTAAAGAGCAATGATGAATTAAAATATGTAAGTATCAGATAAACAAGATAGATACATTCCAGAGATCTGCTGAACAACCCTGTACCTGCATTTAATTAAGATGCTTTGTACCCTTAAAAATTGTTGAGAGAGTAGATCCAATGTTAAATGCTCTTACTACAATAGAATAAAATCTAAAAAGTACAAATAAAAAAGGAACATTGAGACCATAGCAGGGGTGAGGCGGTGACAAGACTGGGCTGGCCAGTGTAGGATGATCTAAGCAGGCTTTCTGGTTTCCCTCCCTTAGGTTGGAAAGTTTCCCCAAGAGGAACTGTGCAGGTGCTTGTGGGTTGAAGAGGGTGAGCCTGGTTGCCAGCATTCTCAGAGCTGAGATGGTGAAGGGAATTGGGATGTCACCATCAAATAAACACTGACTTTCATCTAGAACAGTATCCCTGTTCTTAGCCATGTCTTGTTTTGTTTTTGTCTTAGCCACTCTGCCCCTTTCAGAGATATCTAGGAATTCCTGGGATTCTAGGAATTGGCTTGCCAGGGCTTCCCTTATTACCAGGTTAATGGTCACCACTCTGCTGAATCAGCTTCCACTCGACCATCTGCTTCACAACTTCTGAAATGTGGTCTCTGTCACCTTCTTACCCAGTTTCCTTTGTCTCTGAACATTTACATATTTTGTGTATGTGCATTTTACAGGAGTTTGGATAAGCAGCACAGATATATTAATGTGCTCATTTGGCATTTAACTAAGGGTTTGTATTGTATTCCTAAGCTCCCCTCCAACTTCTAATTATGTGACATTAAATGCATTTCAATTAAGGCAAGAGTAAGTATATAATTGGATATGATATTGGAGAGATTACAACTTGGGAATATCATGCAAATGAGACAGGAAAAGATAATTAACTTTAAGTTTTCAATAATCAATCTAGAGAAAGCTTTGTAGAAAGTAGACGCTTTGTTTTTATTTGAAAGGCAGAGTTACAGAGAGGCAGAACCAGAGGCAGAGGCAGTTCTCTCCCCAGATGGCCAATAGCCGGCCCCTGGCAGATCCAAAGGCAGGAGCCAGGAGCTTCTTCCAGGTCTCCCACATGGAAAGTTCCCCAAGAGGGGTTTCCCCATGTGGAGGCAGGAGCCCAAGGACTTGGGCCTTCTTCTACTATTTCCCAGGCCACAGTAGAAAGCTGGATCAGAAGTGGGGCAGCCAGGACTCAAACTGGCATCCATATGGGATGCCGGCCTGGCAAGCGGTGGCTTTACCCGCTATGCCACAGCACCAGCTCCTGAAGTAAAAATCAGGTTACAAGTATATCTGAAGCCCATCTGTCCATACTTCATTCCTCTCTCCTTCCCTCCTTCCCTCTCTCTTTCCCTTCCTTCCTTCCTTTTTTTTTTTTTTGACAGGCAGAGTGGACAGTGAGAGAGAGACAGAGAGAAAGGTCTTCCTTTTTCCATTGGTTCACCCCCCAATGGCCACTGCGGCCGGCACATCTCCTTTTTTCTTTATTTCTAGAGCAGTAGAGGCAAACCAAAGAGAAAGCTGAGGCCGGCGCCCCGGCTCACTAGCTAATCCTCTGCTAATCCTCCACCTGCGGCGCCTGCACACTGGGTTCTAGTCCCAGTTGGGTCGCCGGATTCTGTCCCGGTTGCTCCTCTTCCAGTGCAGCTCTCTGCTGTGGCCCGGGAGGGCAGTGGAGGACAGCCCAAGTGCTTGGGCCCTGCACCTGCATGGGAGACTGGGAGGAAGCACCCGGCTCCTGGCTTCGGATCAGCGCAGCGCTGGCAGTAGCGGCCATCAGGGGAGTGAACCAACAGAAGGAAGACCTTTCTCACTGTCTATAACTCTCTCTCTGTCTCTCACTGTCTAACTCTGCCTGTCAAAAGAGAGAGAGAGAGAGAGAGAGAGAGAGAGAGAAAGCTTAGGTGGCCTGCAATAATCTTGATCTTGATCTTCTTCCAGACTATAAAAAGAAGCTACCATGAAATCAAGACTTGTGTAGTGAGCTTATCTGAGGAAGACAATGGAAGGAAACCAAATGGAGAAAACTTTGGTGTCTCCTGTACAAATAAATTGGAAGAAGAAGAACAC